TTCTTAATGGACAGCCGGCCGTTCTTATATTCATTGCACAAATCTTTATCGAGTTCCTCCCCATGCACCCGGCGTTAGACTAGGTACTGGGAATATAGAAGTAATGAAGGCAGGCAATAGCGTGCCGATCACCGTTTGCCCTACACTAAGGGATTTCCTGGGATGTGGAACTTTTAGTGGTAAAACCAGGACAGTCCTGGGCAAACCAAGAGGAGGTGGTCCCTAACAAATAAAGCCCCCACCCTCCTGGAGGTTATATTCTGGTGGCTCCAGAAGTGGGGGTCAAAGGGAAAACACACACAATTTCACATAGGGATAGATGCCATGAAAGACATAAAATCAGGTGGCGGATTGTACTTGAGACAGGGGGGACTGCATTGTCTCTTTGCGGAAGTAGAGTCTGAGCTGATGAACGATGGTGAGACATCAATCTCATGGGCACTCGGAGAAGAGATATCCAAAAACCCCACGGCAGGAACAAGCTCGGCACATGCGAGAAACCGAAAGAAGGCCTGTGTGCCAGGATTGGAATGAGCAGTCGGATTAGTGGGGGCTGGCAAGGCCCTGACCTGTTTACCCCAAGAGAGATGGGAAGCCGACAGAAGGATTAAGCAGGGGAGTACCACGTTCCAGTTGTTAGTTTTAAAAGATCATACCAGCTGCTGGCTGGAGAATGGACTGGAGGGAAGGGACGGGCACAGGAAGACTGGTTAGGAGGCCGTTACAAGTGGGCAGGTGGTGATGATGGCAGCTGGACTAGGGTGGTGACCGGGAGAAGGAGAAGAAGGACAGGGCAGACCCGACTGTCCTTGCTAATGAATTGGATGTGGGGGTGAAGGAAAGAGAGGACTCAGAAATGATGCTGGGGTTTGGGGCTGGAGCCATAGTAAACAAGGACATGCCCCAGAGGGCAGGAGAGGTCCCTCTGTCCAGGAGAGGGAGGAGGGAGCCCTGACAGGTCCAATAAACTCGGTCAACTGGAATACAGCTCGGTGGTGTTATCCTTGACGTGGGACAGTGTGGGGGAGATATATGTCTGGAATGTGTCTGCTTTGGGGGAGTGAGGAAGAAATGTCTTAGGAGGCAAGATGCCTGCAGGTGGGATTTAGAGTCTGTTTTAGTATTGGTGGGACCCAATTTATTTTTTTTTTTAATTTTTTTTTTCAACGTTTATTTATTTTTGGGACAGAGAGAGACAGAGCATGAACGGGGGAGGGGCAGAGAGAGAGGGAGACACAGAATCGGAAACAGGCTCCAGGCTCTGAGCCATCAGCCCAGAGCCTGACGCGGGGCTCGAACTCACGGACCGCAAGATGGTGACCTGGCTGAAGTCGGACGCTTAACCGACTGCGCCACCCAGGTGCCCCTGGTGGGACCCAATTTAAAAGCGACTCCTGAGAGACTGATAGTCCAGACGGGTTATGCAAATGGGATATGTTTACATGACCTGAAATGAGATGAGTGTACTAGCTTAGCAGGGTGAGCTGTAACAACCTGCAAATCTCTGTGGTTTAGCACAACAAAGGTGTAGTTTTCACTCCCATTACAGTTGCACGAGGACAGAATGAGTGGTTTTGTTTCATTCATTCATTCATTCATTCATTCATTCATTCAGGGATCCCAGGCTCTTGCCATCATGTGGTGCTGCCATCTTCAACATGCGGCCCCTCAAACCATCAAAGAACGGAAATAGGGAACTGAGGGCCCATGGAAGATTTTCACGGGTCCGGCCTGGAAACGGCACACATTGCTTCCGCTTTGATTCCGTTGTACAGAACTCAATCCCATGGCATCAATTTAACGGCAAGGACACTGGGAAGTGTTCCAAGTTCAAATTGGATGGGTAATGTGCCAGAAGAAGAGCCCTTAATGGTGAGCATTAGTGAGCAGGGAGAGTGGCTATCAGTCTTGTTGGGGGAGCGGGCAGTGCCGTCTGTCTCGGGTTGGGATGGGCGCGTGCTCTCTGAAAGTACCTTGGAGAAGAAGCTGACGTAGGAAGACGTGTAGGTGCGGGGCACGTTCGCGTGCTTTGCAGAACAGAACGGAATCCTTCCATCCGTTCCCATTCTCATGGCCTTCCTCCAGGTGAGATCTTAATGATGCCACCCCTGACCACCGAAAGAGCCTCATGAATGCTTTCTCTGCTACGATTTTCTTCTCCTGTCGAATCTAACCTGGATATCCCAGTCTAAATAACCTTCCTAAGGCCTGGCTTGTGTCATGCCACGTCTGTTCAATGATGACAATAACAACAATTTAAAAAAAATTTTTTTTAAATGTTTTACTTATTTTTGAGACACGGAGGGACAGAGCATGAACAGGGGAGGGTCAGAAAGAGGGAGACACAGAATCTGAAACAGGCTCCAGGCTCTGAGCTGTCAGCACAGAGCCCGACGCGGGCCTCGAACTCACGGACGGAGAGATCACGACCCAAGCCGAAGTCGGCCGCTTAACCGACGGAGCCACCCAGGCGCCCCAATAACAACAATTTTAAGAGCGGCGACGATAACTCGTTGAGCTACCGTGTCGAGTACTTTAACTGCGGTGTCTCAACATATCTCAGTTGTTATAACAAGCCTATGAAGTATCATCGTCATTCCCATTATACAGACGGAGGTCCTGAGAAGTCACTGTGCCGTCTAACACGGTAGGCACTAGCCATGCGTGGCTATTTAAATTAAAATGGAAAACAATGAAAAATCCAGCTCCTCGGTCACGCTAGCCGCGTATCGAATACTCAGTAGCCGCGTATGTGTAGTAGCAAATATTTTGGAGAGTGTAGACATAGAGCCTGTTCTTGGCAAAAAGTTCAGTTGAATTATGGGAACCTGCCTAGGGTCATGCAGTGAGTGGTGACCCCATCTGAGTGTAAGATCTTCCGACGGTACCACATCGCCTCTACAATCAAGAAGTTTCAGCCTGCTCTTAACCATTTTGTACGACCTGGGCCAGCTGTGGTTAGATCGTTATTTCTCCTTCATTTCTTGTACAGTCTCATACTGCAGCATGACACGTTTGCTCACTGCTCTGCAATACTCCCACTGCGTCTACTCATAACATTTGTGGTCTCCTCCTTTCTGTCTGCCCCGCTAATTAATTCCTATACGACCTTTAAGGTTCAAATAGCTTCAATAGCTGTGGCATCAGTTCCTTCTTTTTAATTTAATTTCATTTATTTATTTTGAGAGAGAGAGCACGCGCAGGAGAGGGGCAGAGAGAGGGAGAATCCCAAGCAGCATGGGGCCCTACACGGGGCTCCAATCCATGAACCGCGAAATCATGAGCTCAGCCGAAATCAGGATTGGATGCTTAAACGACTGAGCCACCCAGGTGCCCCAAGTCAGTTACTTCTTTTTCATTCTCACTGCCTCTCACCTTTCAGACTCCCCTCATCTCTTGCCCTGGCAGCCATACCGCTACTGTTAATCATACTTGCTGACATTTAATTGAGCATCTACTAAGTGACAGGCACTCTTCTAAGCACCGGCCCCTCATCACAAAACTCAAAGTAGGTATCACGGCTGTCCCCACTTTACAGATGAGGTCATTAAGACACAGGACAGGTGAAGGACTTGTCCAGATGAGCTCTCTACTCCTAGTCTTTTCACAGGCATTTCATCCTCATGCTAGTTTCTGGGAACATTTCTAGAACACAGAATTCTTACCTCCCTCCCCCGAGGAGGAGGACAGCCTCCCGAGCAGAGCGCAAAGGCCCTTTACGTTCAGAACCTTTCTGACTTCAAAACCCACCACTCCATCCACTGACCACAAACTATTTCTAGTTTCCTGAATCTGAATCTGTCATGTTATTTCTCCCCTCTGGGCTGCAGACATGCTGTTCCCTCTGCCTGGAGTGTTATCCCGGTAAGCCAGCTCTGAAGCCACCTATGGCAGCGCACCCTGGACCACGGGGCTTGCTCCCTCCTCTGACTCCATCACTGGCTCCCCAAGAAGGGTTGGGTGCTGAGCTTACCACATGAAAATTACTTCTCATTAAAAAATATGCCTTCCAATGGGGCGCCTGGGTGGCTCAGTCAGTTGAGCATCTGACTTCAGCTCAGGTCACGATCTCGTGGTCCACGGGTTCGAGCCCCACGTCGGGCTCTGGGCTGACGGCTCAGAACCTGGAGCCTGCTTCTGATTCTGTGTCTCCCTCTCTCTCTGCCCCTCCCCCGTTCATGGGGTGTCTCTCCCTGCCCCCCCCCAAAAAAAAAAAAAAAAAATTAAAAAAAAAAAATGCCTTCCCAGCCATGGGTTAACGGGTTTTTTTTTTTTTTTTTTTAAGAAGCTCCCCAGACTATTCTGAAGTGAGGCAAATGTGGTTTACATGGTTTATATCACTTCTTGGGCAATTAATCATGCCCTGCCTGGACTCCTTGTGATGATCACCTTTATCATTATTTATTTATTTATTTATTTATTTATTTATTTATTAACTTTTTTATTTATTTTTGAGACAGAGAGAAACAGAGCATGAACGGGGGAGGGGCAGAGAGAGAGGGAGACACAGAATCGGAAGCAGGCTCCAGGCTCCGAGCCATCAGTCCAGAGCCCGACGCCCGACGCGGGGCTCGAACC